TATGATACAGAATTAATACATTTATTTATGTGTATAATTTTTTTGTATGCAAGTCATACACGTTTCGATCTCGCGCAAGTCCCATTCATTAAAATGTCAAAATCGTTTCGCGCTACTGGTCGTTCGAATCACGTGATATAATATAGACAATTATTACCGATTATTGGGTATTATGAAGATAATTTGCGAGTTTTTCTTTATTCTATTATCTTTATTAATCCCACAACTATATAGCTATCACCTTTACGTTTGTACATGTACCGATATGGCTATTTACAGGTCAAACGTTTGATGATAACATGTAGAAAGATACAGGGAACATCTGTCGAAACCGCAGGGTTATTATCTATAAATCCATATTTCTGGAGACAGGAGTATCCACTAAAAACATTAATTAATCAGATATTGACCCACCAGCTTGTGGAAGCGTAATTTGCTAGACAATTTAATCAATTGAGATTTTGTGTGTAGAAGAAAGGCAGATGTCTTAATCCTGCTAGGCGCGTGCATTTTCGGATACGCAGACAAATCATCGTATAATGTGATAGAAGAAAAAGAGCCATGATATCATGAAAAGTCGTAAACTTACACTGACACTATGTATACTGGAAAATTTTGTCTCATTTCAATTTGTTTTCTCTTAAGTCTACATGTACTTGTGTCAGTACATACATGCACAAATACGCAAGCGTCTTACCAATCTAAATATAAAAATATTTTAGAAAAATTAGGCAAATTTGCAAATTGAGAAATATGCAATCCCGATAATGGCACTACATAAGAAAATCAAATACATCATTATTCTCTCATCTCAAAGACTGAAAAATCTTCATTTAAAGTATTGACATAATACTTCAGTGCATTAAGTGGTAGATTGAATTAACGAACAAATGTCACTTATATCGAGAAAGACATCAGCTGCATTATTGTAGATCTAAATATAAACTTCAGAAACAGAATACGTCAGATACCAATTTGATCTCTTTCTTTGCCTGTCCATCTCTCAGTCAAATATAAATTTGATCATGACGTATTCAACAGTCAATAGTTTCAAGAATACTTTTTACTGTCAAAAAATTCAATTCGAATATTCAAAATATTTTACACAATTACCACAAAATACAAATCTTCTCTCAATGCCAGCCCTCTCATATACAACCTTTACTCGAATGTATACATAACCACAATTTACACCAACATCAACTCGAATGTATACAGAACCACAACACATACGGAGCCACAATCTACACCAGAGTTCAATCGAATGTATACAGAACCACACCAGCGTACACTCGAATGTATACAGGACCACAACATATACAGAGCCACAATCTACACCAGCGTTCAATCGAATGTATACAAAACCACAACATATACAGAGCCACAATCTACACCAGCATTCAATCGAATGTATACAAAACCACAACATATACAGAGCCACAATCTACATCAGCATTCAATCGAATGTATACAGAACCACAACATATACAGAGCCACAATCTACACCAGCATTCAATCGAATGTATACAGAGCCACAATCTACACCAGCGTTCACTTGAATGTATACAAAACCACAACATATACAGAGCCACAATCTACACCAGCGTTCAATCAAATGTATACATAACCACAACATATACAGAGCCACAATCTACACCAACATTCCCTCGAATGTATACAGAACCACAACATGTACAAAGCCATAATCTAATCCAGCGTTCACTCGAATGTAATCAAAACCATAATATTTGCAGAGCCACAATCTACACCAACATTCACTCGAATGAATACAGAACCACAATCTAAACCAGCATTCACTCGAATGTATACAAAGCCACAATCTACATCAAAATCCACTCGAATGTATACAGAACCACAATTTTCACCAACATTCTCTCGAATGTATACAGAACCAAAGTACTAAAACTATCTTCGCTCAATGCCTCCGGTATAGTAGAAATATCTTTCCTAGGTGTCACCGGCTCAGTAAAATCATTAATTTGATGCCACCTGTACTATTGCGCTATTTTACAGTGTGCAAAATGTTTAGTGTATATAGTAAGTCGATAAAATAAAGTTTATTCAAGAATTAGAACTTCTTGTGCGATTTTGCTTTTCTAGGCCTTTTTATATATATAGTAAAGATTATTGAATGAATGATTATGCAAGCTCGAACATTTATCTTAAAAAATAGTATCACTTAAAAAACTAAACTCGTAAAGTATGCTATCAGTTGCAAATTACAAATTGATATCACTGGGACAGATAAGAATGCACAATAAATGTAAATATAATGAACGTTAGTGAATTGTAAACGAAAGGAAAACAAATAGAGTTAACCGTACATGGATGAAAGGTGAATTAAAACGTAAATGCATTCCGTAGTATCTGGGTTGGGAATCCTCGTTTATACAGTCCGCTCAAGTATTTATACTGTGTTTTCACTCCCAGGTCGATCAAATTCTCCAAATAAATTTTAGAATCCATTATGTCGCTTAACCCTTCGTGCTAGCTGATGATGGCTAAGTGGGTTTATTTCCTGACAATTTATATTCTTTAATATTCATCATGTGGATTAAATAATCAGTGGTAAAAAAGAAATGTCGTGTATAAGGCAATGAGACAGTAACCCAGAAACATATAACAAATACTAGTAATGACGCCATACACGTCACTTTCTGTAGTTGTTTGTGATTACTTGTAGTCATCAGAAGTTAAAAATGGGTCTCTGTGATTTTTCTCAATCTCTCTATCTCTATGAAATATCAATGGAAACATTCTTTCCGCTTCTACTTTAATTCTGTACACATTGATGACATTTGAAAAATAAATGAAACGATGCTTTATAAAAAAAAATGTGGCACAGTGTCATAGATGGGCGTTCTGTGTATAAACGTGTGTCTTGTTGTTGCAACATGTCCAATGTTATGAAGGAGTTTTCTGTTTTGTTTTAAGTTTGTATTTACTCTTTATCCATTAGCCTGAAGGTAAACTTCCTTTGTACATTTTAAATCTTAAACAGATTAAATTCATCCGTCTAGCATAATTCTCCATAAATCAGTTTTAACTCAGGGTCCATTAAGAAGAAGACAAGATACATTACAATGCTATCCTGTATTAATTAAACTACTTTTGTCTTTTACACATGATAAAAGCTATAATTAATTTTTCTGTCATTCCCTGTCAAATTTGATGTTTTGTCCCTTGGGATCATGGATTTACTTTTCTATATATATTCTCGTCATTTGGTTGTAGTTGCCTTATAAACGACCATCTCTTGATTGTTAAACTGATTCGTTAATTTCCAAGACTCTGTGGCATCACTAAGAGATTCTTATCTTATTGATGATATGTAAGGGCATACTGTTTATGCTGATCTATTATGTTCCTTTTAACATTCTTGTGTATCTAAACAGTTCAAAAAACTATGTCAACTAACACGACTAGTTTAAACTTCAATTTCTATATCACAATTTTTGAAGAATCGTGGAGTTCGATTCAAATATAAACTATTCAAACTGTATATGAAAAGTGAAGTTAAGAAAACAATCTAGAAAAGTTAATTATCCAACAGTCTGTTATATTTCCCCACGACAGACATTGTATTAATACCTCAGGCACTTACTGATATGATGTTTCCTATAAATGCAAAGCATATTGTTTTAATATCTCTTTATCTTAAAAGCCTTGATTCTGAACAATTCTCTACGCTTTTACGAGTTTTTTCTGATTTATAAAAAATTCAAAATACGAAATAGCTCTTAGATTTATGTAAATGGAAATCCATAAAATTTATGTAATTGAAGCATTTTTCTTCAAAGATATCATTCCTGAGTGTTAGTTTAATATTACTTCAATAATCAAGACACTTTTGTAAAGAATAACATAAAAGCCCTATAAAATTCTACCCATGAAAATTAAAGATTTTATCAAAGAAATTTTCACTGTGTTTATCCCCAAAGTTAATATATCTTGGCTGTGATAACGAAAAAGCGAATATGAAATAAGATATTTAAAATGTAACTTGCTTGATTCAGAATAATAAATGTAGAACATAAAATTATTTTCATCGTTTTTAATAAAGTTGGCGACTTCTTGAACAAAGACAAAGAACAGGGGATGAAAAAAGAACCCTGCTGTACAACTATTCAGCATTCTTACCTCCTGTGAAAATTCGCCGTATTATTCTCAAATTTTAATGCTGATATAGTTTTTAATGTATAATATTGTCGCATAAATTATAAATTGACTGGGGTGTTATGTGTACATTTCAGCAGTAGGTCTGAATTCTCTTCTAAAAGGGTGGCATTTCAATCAGATACTAAACTGGCAGCTAAATGAATATCAAGTTTAATGTCTCTATTATTATGGATGAATAGAAGAAAGGAAATACACAAAACAGGTCTTGATTTAAAAAGCTGACGTAAATATATGATTTTCATCGTAAAATTTCTTTTATTAGAAGCTTTTCGCGTGTTTTAGTATGTTCATGGTGTACATTTATACATTATTCATAGTGACATGGGTAATTAATAAAAAGTATTTATTACTACATCCGAAATAGCCATACGTAGTAATTGCAGTAATGAAGTGTTTGTTCTTATACATACTTCGAAACAAAACATAATACATATTACAGAATAGAGTATGTCTGGGGAAAAACATGGCTATCTCATATCAGCTATTTAATGAAGATAGAAAATCTAGGGTTAAAAACTACAAATGTAACAGCATATGTAAAAATACAAGGGCACATTCTTGGTAAATCTATGTTTCATTGACAAGAGTGCAATTTATCTAAAATATTGATTATTCCTCATTCTAAATCTCATTGTAATGTGTCTGCAAGTGAATGAGTAAATTAAATAACCACGACTAGATGTCTTTTGGTTATTTGTTAGATATCTGTATCATTGATGTACAGCCCATATATTCCTTTTATTGATATATAAATATGTAAATAATAATTCCTTATCATTTTTTAAGAATCAGCTACTTACCTTCCGTTAAATGAAGACAATAAACCAGAAGAAATATTAGTCCATGAGATGACCCCATTAGAGTCAGAGAAGAGTTGTAATAAATCAGAAAAATTAAACATATAAATCCAAGTGTTTATCTATTTGTATACGGTTTACATCCTGAACTTCCATATAATAACCGGTATCTTATTCTTGTATATTTAGAATATAATGTCCATCGCGGTTATTCCATTTTACACTTGAAATTCGTCATTTATGTCGATTTTTTGTTTAATTCGTTTATAATCACAACAAAAGCCCATGCAACAACGTGTGCAGGTTTCGTTTACATATCAAATAATACATCTGTCATTGATCGTACAACTCGCCCATTTACCTGAATCGGTGTTTTGTGTGGTTAATTTGAGAGAAAAGGCGTATCTGTAGGCGGGGTAATCTGATTAAGAAAGAGAGTGTAAACGGGCGCCAGGTTGTCGCTCGGAAAGAGATAGACTTTAAAATACTGTCTCTCTAATAAGCGTGTTGATTTTAGAAGTCTGGCGATTGACTGATTGTATGATACGATTAGTGTGTCTGTTCATTTTCATTTATTCAGCCAGTGAGATGTGAAATAACGTAAAAACGTTTTTAAAACCTTAGTTAAACCAGGTAGACAATATAAGAAACAATTATCTGTAAAATATATGTCTCTTTTAATTTGTTTCCTCAAGTGAATACAATTTTAAAATATTTTATCCATCTGATTAATACAGCTTTACCTTTTTTTATTCTGGTTATTATTCGTTGTTAAATTGTCTAATAATTAATTTACTTTAAGAATTACAGTGAGGTATTATTCAAAACTACTGCTGTCATTGAATTCACATTCAGCATCCAAACTATATATTTCAATATAAAAAAGGTCTCATCAAATTGTGTGAATGTCAAGTTCAAATTTTCCCTTAATAAAAAAACTGCAGTATATGCATCATTAATCAAAGTTGGATATCCTTTTAAAAAGTGTTTCCGTCTATTTGCATGAAATCTTCCGGAAACTGTCGATAAAATCGCTTAAAAGGACTTTATGGCGAGTCAAATTATGAGAACGTCCGATTTCATTTTTTCAAACTTCATGTGTAGATTAACGAATATAAAACATAAAACAATGTATATTCCAAATGTATAGTATAAGCAGCTTAAGATAAGAGAACTTCTTGTATAAAGACTCAGAAGAAATCGTGAAAATTGTAGTAAATAAAATACTGAACTATTGAAATATTTTTTTTTATTAAATTGTCCTTTATTAAAAGTGTCAATTTTCGTGAATTTTTATGGCTATTTTAAGTGTTCTGTGGACCTTTTATTTCATTTCACTGAACATACGTGAATCAATTTTATTTTCCCGTATTTCTTATATACGTATATCAAAAACATGCAACTTGTTAACGTTACTTATTTTGGGATCTCTAAATTTCCATACATGACTTCTTCCGATGCTTCCATATCCAAAAGCTAGTTTATTTCTCATTATTGTCTTGATATAGAGTGTACTGGTACAAAAGGACTGCTGGTACAGAACCTTACATTCAAATTCTGTACTTCGAAAGTTGGAAGGTCGCCATCATGATTTTAGTTGACCTTAGCTGTTGTAAACACGGATATAGGTCCCATCCTCTTGTTTACGTTCTATCATACCACAGAATGTGTCTGATATGTGGAATTTACTTGTATTGACAACATGATGGTAGAGCAGGAACTGTCTACCCTTATGGAGCATCCTTATAGACTGTCAGGTTGGTGTTGACATGTCAATCGAACTATATATATATTTGTCTGTTCGTCTTTTATTATTTGACAATCATGGTGTTACCTTTTATTAAAAGTACATTCGGTACGTAAAGGTTCTCCAAAGTAGGTGGACCGGAATGAAGGTTGGGAATTTTGACCGCAAACGGAAATATATTTACGGTATGTTTGATAGGTACAGAATTGTTGCCTTGTAATATGCGACCTACTACCAATCAAAGAGTTATTAAAGAGGTTTGAACTCTTCTTACTTCAGATACAGGATCAAACGTCCCCATTTCGATAATTGGCCGTGGCTGCGTATTTATACAGATCACACAGCCAAACGGACGCCCCTCTTATAAGCATGGGTTTTACTACCGGATGGGAGAATTTTTCAGTAAAGTACAAAAAGTGTGACACCCTTCTAGGCACGGTATGCTCTCAAACGCACAACCAGTGTGATAGTCTCTTGATGCTGTTTTCAAGCGTAAAAACATGTGGGACACTCATCTTTTACATTGTAACTATATGTTGATTTGGTTATAGACATATGGTCAACTCTGGACTTCTCCAATCCGACAGAACAATAATGATACAGATGGGCGTCGGGTTGACAATGCAGGATGCATAAAAACATTCTTGTCTGATTGGAATGGCGACACAAAATTCTGTGCATCATATATAAGAAAAGTCATACACTCTCTGCACATTAATAAACCCAGGGTTGCAACAACTGTATCAGAGGTCCGTTTATAGGTGACATGTTGCAAGGCAAAATTTGCGTCTTTATTGCCTTTTCCGTGGGTAGTCTTTATTTCTCGCCCCTGCATCTCGGTCGACAAACTTACAGGTTCTATCTTTTTTAAATTGTTAACTTGTTCCCGTCGTGAATCTGCATGAAATATTTGCCACTGTGCGTTGCCGTTAATCAAACAACAACAATCAATCAATCGATCATCAATATAAAACGGTACACAAAGTACACAATATATCATTCAAAATTACACAGTTCAAATTACTTCAAGCGACTGGATATTAATCTATGTACGATTCTCGAGAAAAACATCGTCATCATGATGAAGTTCAACGTTTAAGATTTTCTATTCTTTGGTTGAGGAGAATGTGATTTCTTTGCTGGTATTAGATCTGCAATGTATTGGTTGATCTCGTTAACTTACTCGACATCGTTTGATGATTCAATAGATTGTATTTGTTTTGATGAATTTGATTTTTTTATTGTTAAGTGGCATTTTCATAATGTGGGGCAGTCCTTTGTTTCAAGGTGAGGTAGTTGTTCTGTGGTTGTCCTCAGTCTCCAGGTAATGTAGGTTTTCCGTGGTTGTCCTCCGTCTCCAGTTGAGGTGTTTGTTCCGTGGTTGTCCTCTGTCTCCAAGTGATGTAGTTGTCCCGTGGTTGTCCTCTGTCTCCAATTGAGGTAGTTGTTCCGTGGTTGTCCTCAGTTTCCAGGTGAGAAAGTTGTTCCGTTGTTGTCCTCTGTCTCCAGTTGAGGTATTTGTTAAGTGGTTGTCGTCAGTCTCCAGGTGAGAAAGTTGTTCCGTGGTTGTGCTCTGTCTCCAATTGAGGTAGTTGTTCCGTGGTTGTCCTCAGTTTCCAGGTAATTTAGGTTTTCCGTGGTTGTCCTCTGTTTCCAGTTGAGGTATTTTTCAAGTGGTTGTCCTCTGTCTCCAGTTGAGGTGGTTGTTCCGTGGTTGTCCTCTGTCCCCGGGTGATGTAGCTGTTCCGTGGTTGTCCTCTGTCTCCAGGTTTATGAAGTTGTTCCGTGGTTGTCCTCTGTCTCCAGATGATGTTGTTGTTCCGTGGTTGTCCTCTGTCTCCAGGTGATGTGGTTTTTCGTTGGTTGTCCCCTGTCTCCAGTTGAGGTATTTGTAAAGTGGTTGTCCTCAGTCTCCAGGTGAGAAAGTTGTTCCGTGGTTGCCCTTAGTCTCCATTTGAGGTAGTTGTTCCGTGGTTGTCCTCAGTCTCCAGGTAATGTAGGTTTCCCGTTGTTTTCCTCTGTCTCCAGGTGATGTAGTTGTTCCGTGGTTGTCCTCTGTCTCCAGGTGATGTAGTTGTTCCGTGGTTATCCTCTGTCTCCAGGTGATGTTGTTGTTCCGTGGTTGTCTTCTGTCTCCAGGTGATGTAGTTGTTCCGTGGTTGTCCTCTGTCTCCAGTTGAGGTATTTGTTAAGTGGTTGTCCTCAGTCTCCATGTGAGAATGTTGTTCCGTGGTTGTCCTCTGTCTCCAGATGATGTAGTTGTTCCGTGGTTGTCCTCTGTCTCCAGTTGAGGTATTTGTTAAGTGGTTGTCCTCAGTCTCCATGTGAGAATGTTGTTCCGTGGTTGTCCTCTGTCTCCAGGTGATGTAGTTGTTCCGTGGTTGTCCTCTGTCTCCAGTTGAGGTATTTGTTAAGTGGTTGTCCTCAGTCTCCAGGTGAGAAAGTTCTTCTGTAGTTGTTCTCTGTCTGCAGGTGATTTAGTTGTTCCGTGGTGTTGTCCTCTGTCTCCAGTCGAGGAAGTTGTTCCGTGGTTGTCCTCTGTCTCCAGTAGAGAAAGTTGTTACGTGGTTTTCCTCTGTCTCCAGGTGATGTAGTTATTCTGTGGTTGTCCTCTGTCTCCATGTGATGTAGTTGTTCCATATGTGTCCTCTCTCTCCAGGTGATGTTGTTGTTCCATATTTGTCCTCTGTCTCCAGGTGATGTGGTTTTTCGTTGGTTGTCCCCTGTCTCCAGTTGAGGTATTTGTAAAGTGGTTGTCCTCAGTCTCCAGGTGAGAAAGTTGTTCCGTGGTTGCCCTTAGTCTCCATTTGAGGTAGTTGTTCCGTGGTTGTCCTCAGTCTCCAGGTAATGTAGGTTTCCCGTTGTTGTCCTCTGTCTCCAGGTGATGTAGTTGTTCCGTGGTTGTCCTCTGTCTCCAGGTGATGTAGTTGTTCCGTGGTTATCCTCTGTCTCCAGGTGATGTTGTTGTTCCGTGGTTGTCTTCTGTCTCCAGGTGATGTAGTTGTTCCGTGGTTGTCCTCTGTCTCCAGTTGAGGTATTTGTTAAGTGGTTGTCCTCAGTCTCCATGTGAGAATGTTGTTCCGTGGTTGTCCTCTGTCTCCAGATGATGTAGTTGTTCCGTGGTTGTCCTCTGTCTCCAGTTGAGGTATTTGTTAAGTGGTTGTCCTCAGTCTCCATGTGAGAATGTTGTTCCGTGGTTGTCCTCTGTCTCCAGGTGATGTAGTTGTTCCGTGGTTGTCCTCTGTCTCCAGTTGAGGTATTTGTTAAGTGGTTGTCCTCAGTCTCCAGGTGAGAAAGTTCTTCTGTAGTTGTTCTCTGTCTGCAGGTGATTTAGTTGTTCCGTGGTGTTGTCCTCTGTCTCCAGTCGAGGAAGTTGTTCCGTGGTTGTCCTCTGTCTCCAGTAGAGAAAGTTGTTACGTGGTTTTCCTCTGTCTCCAGGTGATGTAGTTATTCTGTGGTTGTCCTCTGTCTCCATGTGATGTAGTTGTTCCATATGTGTCCTCTCTCTCCAGGTGATGTTGTTGTTCCATATTTGTCCTCTGTCTCCAGGTGATGTTGTTGTTCCGTATATTTGTT